CTGACTATGCTAGATGAATCTTTGCTCCAGAAAGTTAGATTTTATGGTATATGCATATTTTACAATAAAGCTGCATATAATAGTGTTCCCTCTAGCTTTTTGTTTGGAGAAGGGGTTAAATGTGGGGCTGACTAGGATGGACAACCTATCTTGTCAGCATAGTAATGAATCTACAAAATTATTATGTTAATCTAAGATACACACATACTTACTGGAAAACATTCAACTTACATGAAAGGTGAGGGTCAATAACCTGTAGATGTCTGTTAACTTTCTCAAATTTTAAGGCAAGAATTTCTGAGGATTTAAGCACAAGCTTAATATCATTCCTGTAAAAAAACAAAAAAAAAAATTCTGGTTAAAAACACACTCAATTCAGGAGATTTACTAATTACCAACCTTGGAATTTATCAGTATGGTAGCACAGAGAGTACAAATCGGGCTCTGAACCACAAGGTCAGCAGTTCAAAACTACCAGCTGTTCTGTGGGAGAAAGATGAGGTTTTCTGCTCCCGTAAATATTTATAGCCTTAGAAACCCTGTACAGGGCCACTATGAGTCGGAACCACACCAGGAGTCATTTTTATGTATTGGGTAGGGCAGTTGCACATAGGAAGACATGAACCCCAATTCCTGTTGTTGATGTGAGGTAAACAGAGGCACCATTCTTCTGGTGTCCTGCTCTGACATACCCCATTTGGGGAGGGTGGGGCAAGGAGTGTCTTTTTCCTCCCTAAATGCCCTTTTCAGAGATACGTCTTCACTATTCTTTAAAAATCTTCCATTTTTCATAAAACAGGTAAAATGTCAAAGTAACAAATGCTATAAAACTGCACAGATTTTCTTCTTAGGGAGTTAGCATGATTAACCTTCTGTAAAATAAGTGCTAGCCATAGGTTCTGGTTTCCTGCAGTTTTTGTTTTTTAGTGGTATTTGTTGTATGATAGATTTGTTGTAAGATAGCACTAGGGTACACACAGGCTGTCTCACACTGGCTGGGCTTTTTCAGCCCGAGTCTTACAATCTCTACTATACCTGAGTTTGCTCTTAGGGCAAAGCATAAGGTGTTGACAACATGTGAGGTGTAAAAAGTTAGAAAGAGGCCATAAAATAGGGCAGAATCGTGAATGTGGTACATTTATTTAAAGAATAAATATGGGGCGGGAATCTATAATAGAAACTAGCACGTAGCAACCAGAAGGTAATCTTTGGTATGTACTCAACATTTGTCCATTTCTTATTAGAATACTTGTTTTAAGCTCTAAGCTTGGCAACTTAAGCAAGATGTGGGAACAGTTGGCAAGGTTCCTGAAAAGAGCAATGAAACTTGTTAGAGAATAATAAGACCGTTGCAAGAAGGTTAAAAGATTAAAGTTTTCTTGGGCAGGTGGGGGGATATAAAACATATGAAAAGCTGGAACATAAATAATAGTAACTGTTCATTTTCAGTTTACCAAGTGGTACAAAAAGGAATATCCTATATTTTTCTGGAGGGATTCCTTGACACAGGAAACTTTTCCTTTTTTCCCAAATAATCGAGGCCATATGGTATGCATTCTCTTCTTCCCTTAGCTTTCCTCACATTATATGTTTCTGGTTCTCTTTCTATGTTTTGGCCCATTCTTAATTTGATTCACAGCTATAATGACAATAGGAAAAAAAATCAGGAAATCTAGCCTCCTTTTGTCCTTAAAATTCTAAGTAAAACAATTGTTACAAAAATTTCTAAACAACTTTCCTAATTTAAAGGCCTTCCTTCAGCTTTTCGTGAATTAATAAATCCTGAGAAATGTATGTTGTGTGTAAACGATGCAAGCCAAACAAAACTCTCAATCTGGGGCAAGATCAACCCAGTGGGTTCTCTCTTAGCCTCTCTGCTTCCCAGCCTTCCCTCCTTTCCTGCCTTCTCTTCCCCCTTGCTGAAATCTCATGAATTTTGCTTCTGTCCTCTTCATGTCATATTCATTTTTCATGTATAGCCACCAGTAATAGCTGTCCAAACTAAAATAGGCCATGTCACTTTTCTGCTAGTCTGTCATCAGTCGCCCATAACGTATGTCAGAGACACCCACAATCCAGGAACTTCATACAGGAGCGGAGAGGCATAGCGACAGCTGTCGATATCATTTATATAGCAACTCCCTGTGAAGGACAGTTAGTAAGCTCAGCGTACAAGTGGCCCCGCTCTGTCGGAAACAAGGTGGAGAATAAAGGACTTAAAAGACAAGTTCAGGCTCCTTAAGAGGACCTGGGAGATGCTCTGTACTCCTTCCTATCTCCCTCTCCTGCCCATCTCCTCCCTACCCCTGTTCCCTTCCCTTCCTTTCCTTACCCTTCCCACTGGGTTGATCCTACCCTAGGTGGAGAGTTTTGTTTGCCTTGTATCTTCTTACACATGGCATACAGCTCTCAGGCTTTACTTATTCACAAAAAGCTGAAGAGCAATGCAGGCCTTTTAAACTAGGAAAGTTGGCTTAGAAATTTTTGTAAGGATTATTTTACTTAGAATTGTAAGGACAGATGGAGGAGGCTAGATTTCCTGATGTTTGTCCCATATTTGTCATTGTAGTTGTGAGTTTTCTGGGTTGTGTTGATGAGATAAAATAAAACCAGAGACTAGTATACAGTTTTGGAATTCTAGTGAACAAATCCATTAAGAATTGTAATCTTTCTTTATAAAATCATAAAATAGTAGAGCCAAACAAGATCTTAGAGATCATCCAATTCAAACTCTCCTTCACAGAAAAGAAAATCTGTGTTCTACATGTGTGCCCAGAACACATGTAGAGCTCAGACTCCTGGCTCCAAGGTCATGTAATACCATCTTCCTTTTACCCAATTAGTTTTCAAACTCAAGTTGTTTTTTTTTAAAGCAGAGAAATCCTCCTTCAGTCTTTTAAGTAAAATACATGCATTTACCTTTTTTGTGTTAAATACTTCAAATTTATACCAAAAAAAAAAAGAAAAGTAAGCCAGGTCTTCAAAGAATCCACTGGGATGTGTATGCATATGTGTGTATGCATATGAGTGCTTTAAAAATTTAACTAAGATGACCAGATTATTGTGTAGCAGGAACTAGTTGTATTCAGCATTGGGAAATTTAGCTGTAGTCATAACTCATCTGAGATTTGGTTCCTCTTCTGTTTAAAAAGAAAGTTGAATTACTATAAAATTTCTTATAACTATCATATGATAAAAATGTGAGTACATATTTTGCATATGATAAATGTATAATTCTCGGAGCTGCCATGTGAGGTTGGTACTGTCATCCCTGTTTTACAGATGAGGAAACTGAGTCATAGAAGGTAAAGCAGCCTAACATCATGTAGTAAAAAGTAGAGCTAAGATTGAAGGATGGGAATCAAGCTTCAGAGCCCACATTCTAAATTCCTGTGCTTTACTATATGGTCTTCCTCTTCTTTTAATCTTGCTTCTGCTTTGAATTGACTATTTTCTTTTTTAATATTTATATCAGTGATAAAATATGAGTAACAAATATTTAAATTTTGAGGCAGAAACAACTTGTTAAAATGATCCATTCAATGGAAAAATTAAGATTACCAGCTATTGATAGTAGTTATATGTCTTACATAGTGTTTTTTGTCTTAAAGAGAATCTAATCAAATGCTTTGGGATAAGCATTGGACTGTTAACTGCAAGGCTGGCAGTTCAAACCCACCAGCTGCTCCTCAGAAACCTTATACAGGGTCTCTATGAGTTGGAACCAACTTGATGGCACTTATCAACAACTGTCAAACCAAAGTTATTCTGAAGATGCTATAGTCTTTAAAGTTATATGATGGCTTTTTAGAATTTATTTTTAGAAACACAGAATAATTGTTTTGAAAGTAGGCTTTAATCCAGAACACAGATCGTGGTAGTTGTGCACCATTCTGTATTGTCAGATTCCTTCTGATACACTGATTTATGTTTTGGGCATCATACTCTGAGGAAAACTCAACCAGACTAGGTGAAAGGATTTAAAACTGTGTTAAGTAAGAAAATTTTGAAGGAAGTGGGGGTACTCAGCCTTGAGAGGAAGAACATTCTCAAATATAAGAAAGGTTATTATTTAGAAAAAAGATTTAGTCCTGTGAATAGAATTGGATCTCTAGGTGAAAGTAACAGAGGGCCAGTAGTAGACAAATGTGAAATTGGCCGGCTTGTTTCTGGCTTATACATTGTAGATGTCTTTGTCAGAAGATTTGTCAGCAGAGTCTGGGTCACCTGGGAAAAGGCTGTTGAGAGCAGATTCCGTCCTAGTTTGATTGGACTATATGACTTTTCTGTTCCTGTTTCACAGTGCCTGGCATGTAATAGGTGCTCACTAAATAACTATTTTAAATTAGTACCTAAAGAATGGAACAGGAGAAGTATTCATTATTTAAAATCAGTGTCATTTTAAGTGACATATTTGATTCTGCCCTGATTGTAAGAGAGATTAAAAGGGAAGACTACTTTATTTAGAAGTAAATCTGGTTCTTTTCTAGTTCCTCTTATATACTACAAGCTTCATACATTTTATTGGTTATAACAAATTATTACTATTTTAAGCTTTCAAATGTACTAATTTTTAGATTTATCTCAGTTTGTGAGTTCATAAGCTCTTTGATAGTGTTGTTGCTGAAAAGTGCCGTCAAGTTGATTTCAACTCATCCTGTGTAGGGTGTCTGAGGAGCTACTAGTGGATTTAAACCACCAACCTCATGGTTAGCAGTCCAGTGCTTATCCTACAGTACTATACCAGGGCTATGTGTTTTTGTTTCCTTTTAAAGTACCTATTCCAGAATCTTTTTAAGATGTGTCAAAAGTGTTTTCAAACTGTATATGGAGGGGTCATCCTTGACTCATTATTATTTGGGATAAAGTCATCATTTATGTATTCCCAGTGACTATTTCAACATTTAGAAATAATTAACTGTGATGAACCATGTTTGAACGTTTAGTGTGGAAGGAAGGATGGGGTATCTAGTGTATTCACTGTTTGTTGCCCTTTTTAGGTGCGTGTGAGGGAACTTTGGCTTGCTCTACCTGTCACCTCATCTTTGAAGATCATATATATGAGAAATTAGACACAGTGACTGATGAAGAGAATGACATGCTTGATCTGGCGTACGGACTAACAGACAGGTAAGATTATACGATACCTTCAGTGGCACTAGCCTGTGGGAAAAAAGAAGGTTTATTATTTCTTGTGTGAGACCAGAGTCATGAAGGTAATAGTGGTTTTACCTACATGTACATTTGATTATCAGCATATGGCTTATTTCTTTATTTTCTTATTCATCTTATTTATTATTCTTTGTCTTTGTTTTACTGTTCTACACTTGAGTCTTAATGAAATTTTTCATAGAAGTGAAAAATTTAATTGGGATTACTGGAAGTTTTAGATCCTAGTAAATCTTTAGTCTGCTCTTATTCTAGGAATTAATGCTTATTACAATTTAACTTGAATTGGGATTAATTTAATACTTTTATAGTATTCACAAAGACAGAATGGATAATTGAACAAAATTAGAGTAGAAAGTTCTACCTATTTGAGAGACCAGAATTCATAAAGAAATTGTCTAATAGTAAATATGTTACAATGAAATAGTTCCTTTAATAAGTGTGCATTAAAGCAAATTGATGAGAGCTTTAAAATTAATAGGTAGTGTTACTTTTAAAGGGAGTCCTGCTGTGGCTCTGTACACAAGCACTGGACTGCTAACTGCTAGGTTGGGTGTTCAAACCCACCAGCTGCTTCTTGAAAACCCTATACAGGGTTGCTATGAGTAGGAACTACTCCACACACTTAACAACTGTAAAAATAGTGCAATTTACAGTAGAACTGACATCAGGTGTGATGTCTTATTTCATTTTTTAATAACATATTATTATGATTTAAAGTCAAAGAAGGTAACTAGTTAACTTGTGCCTTCAAGGGGTAAGTAAGAATGAATCAAAAAAATTATAATAGCTGTCTATTTCTGTATGCTATGTAACTAGAATTTTGCTAGACACTTCACATAAACTATCTCATTCAGTCCTCACAAAAAGGTTGATGTCATTGGCATTTATATTGTTGTTGTTTTTGTCAGGTGTCATTGAGTCACTTCTGACTCACAGCGGCCCTTTGCCCAGCAGAATGAAACACTGTCCGGTTCTGGACTATCTTCAGAGTCATTCCTGTGTTTGAGTTCTTTGTTGCGGCCATTGTTAATCCATCTCATTGAGGGTCGTCTTCTTTTTTGCTGGCCCTCTTTTATCAAGCATGATGACCTTCTCTAGAGACTGGTCCCTTTGATGACATACTCAAAGTACATGAGATAAAGTCTTACTTTTCTCAATTCTAAGAAGCATTCTAGCTTCCAATATAGAATTGTTTATTTTTCTGGCAGTCCGTAGTCTGTTCAGCATTCTTTGCCAACAGCATAATTCAGAGGCATCAGCTCCTCTTAGGTCTTCCTTATTTGTGCTCTAGCTTTCAAATGCATGTAAGGTAATTGAAAATACCATGTGACACCTTTGCTCTTTAATACTTCAGAGATCTTTTGTAGCATACTTGTCCAGTGCAATACATCTTTAATTTTGGTTTTAGTTTTGCCTGCTGCTTCCATGGGCATTGATTGTGGATACAAGCAAAATGAAAATCCTTGACAACTTCAGTCTTTTCTCTGTTTATTGTGATGTTAATTGATCCAATTGTGATGATTTTTGTTTATATTGAGCTATAATTTATATGGAAGTTTGGAGTTTTTGGTCTTCACGAAATGCTTCAAGTTTTCTTCACGTTAAGCAAAAATATGTGTCATCTGCATGTCACAGGTTGTTATTTTGATGTGCAGTTTTATTAATTTTCTTTGGTGTTACCCTGTAATTTATTAATTATTTCCCCCTATTTCAAACAGTCTGTTTGTTGTATCTTGAAATCTACTTGACTTCCTTGGAAACCCGTTGGAAGTTCTGTATCTACATTATTCCCTCTCTTTACTTTGTAGTTGACTTCATTCTAAATTGACATCTCTGGTTCTCAATTTTCAGTCTTGTAGATGTGTTTTACTTTTAATACTTCTGTATCTGGATTGAGTTCTGGGTGGTATTGTCATATATAGTCATTTTAGGTTGTTGTCTGCTGCTGTTGTTTTTCAGTCCAAAGAACAACCGCCAAAATTTTTTGTAAGTTGGTCTGATTATGAAAAATTTCTTTAATTTCTGCTTAACAGAAAACATACTAATTTTGCCATCATATTTGAGGGACAGCTTTGCTAGGTATATGTTTCTAGGTTGACAGTGTTTCCTTTTAAGAGCTTTGTATATGTCATTCCATTGCCTTCTTGCCTGCATGGTTTCTGTAGAAAAAATAGAACTTGGTCTTATTGGTTCTTCTTTATAGGTTTTCATTTTTCCCAAACTGCTCTCAGGATTCTCTCTTTGTGTGTTTGTTTTTGGAGAGTCTGATTATGATACGTCCTGTTGACTTTCTTTTTGAGTCTGTCCTGTTGGGGGTTCGTTCAGCTTCATGAATACTTATCTTCTTGCCTTTCATGATGTTAGGGAAGTTTTCTTCCAACAACTCTTAGATAATTTTCTCTGTGCTTTTTATTGTATTTTCCTGTTCTGGAATTCCAGTCATCAGTAAGTTTGTTTCTCTTCATTGTATCCCACATAACTGTTAGGCTTTCTTTGGATTTTTTATTCTTTTTTTCTGATTGTTCTCTTAGCATACTAGTATTGAGAGATACCTCTTCAAGCTCACTAATTCGAGCTTTCATTGCTTCTAATATACTCCTGTGTTCTTTCAATGTATTGTGCATTTCTGAGATAGTAGTATTAATCTTCTGTATTTCTAATGCAGGTTTTACATTGTTTCAAAATTTGCATTTATTTTGTCTGTTTGTTATTATAATGCTGTCCAAAAAAAATAGTTTTTCTTGTGTGTTCTCATTGCTTTCCTCAGTCTTCCTATCATTACTTTGAAGGTACCTAAGTATTATTCTTTTCTTCCTCAGAAACATTTTTTGGTTCCGCGTCTTGGTCATTTGTTTGAACCATTCTCTCTTGTTTCTTCATATAAGCTAAAATTGTCTGTTGTCTCTGGGGCATTGTGGTATTGTTATATTTGTATTTAACTGATGATGGTATATTGTTGTATTCTTAGTCTGTCACCAGCTGTCTCCCGTGGTTGTAGTTAGAGAATGGAAGGGTGTGCAGTATTCTTGTTTGTCATTCATGCACCTCAGTTTAGGGTGCAGTGGCTTCAGTTTGTCATTGATAAGGTGGTATAGGAGCTGGTACTGGCTCTTGCCCAGTGGGTGAAACAGCGGAGGGTTCGGTTTTGGCTGGGCTGTGGGGGGCACATTTGTCACCTCTCTGGTCTCCCATGTGAATCTGGTCTGCCAGGCTGCCTTGTGTTGGCAAAGCCACTTACCAGATGATTATACCATGTCTGGCTGGCTGTTCATGAGTCATCTCTGTCTTCAGCTGGCTTTTCTAGAGAAACAAAACCAGTAAAACGTATATATGTTATTGTTGGTAAGTGTTGTTGAGTTGTTTCTGACTCATAGCAACCCTGTATAGGGTTCCCAAGGAGCAGCTGATGAGCTTGAACCGCTGACCTTGTGGTTCAAACTGTTTTTGTAGTCCAGTGCATTAACCTATAATGCCTCTCTATCT